TCCAACCCACTGCAACCCTATATAGAATTTCTGAGAAGTGGCTGGTGAGCTTGCACTGCCAACTTTGTGGTTCAAACCAACCTTGCAGTCTAGCACATTAACCCACAGCACCACATTATATAATCTCATACTTCTTCCTAGGCTGCGGGAAATTGAAGAACGATTGCATGGATTGAAAGCGTCATCTATGACACAAACACCTGCCTTAAAATTTAAGGTAAGAAGAGAGAGATAAGAGCTTCCGGATTTATCGCAGTGTTTTCCCCAAACATCATTTGAAACACTCTATTCGTATTCAAATGAAAGTTTAGTTACTATTCTTTCAAGTTTAATAGTTATGGAATTCATGCTGTCTGTTGGACACTACTGCTTTCTGAGTTCTAAGAATAGAATGAATAAAATAGTTCTCCAGCCCTCAGGATATAGAACTGTATAACTGTGTGTTACTGGGTACAATGACTTTATGTTATTGGCACTGTTTTCAGTTTACAGAATGATATACAAGAGAGAGATTTTAATTTTGTCTGGAACGATTAACAGAGGAATGGCATTTGTGCTAAAGCTCAGTAAATTGAATATTAATAAATACAAAAAAGAAGAAATGCTATATGTGTGTGTGTGTGTGTGTATATATATATATATCCCTATACGGGGTCATTATGAGTTGGCATTGACTTGATATCACTTAACAACACATATATATATTTATGTATGTATATGTATCTAAAGGAGTTCTTGTAACAACGTATTGGTTACGAATTGGGCTGCGAACCGCAAGGTCAGCAGTTCAAAACTACCAGCTGTTCCACGAGAGAAAGATGAGGCTCTCTGCTCCTGTAAAGATTTACAGTCTCGGAAACCTTGTACATGTCATTAAGTGTCGGAACCAACTCCACGGCACATAACAACAACAAAATATGTATCTATGTATGTATGTATTTATATTTGTTGTTGTTAAGTGCCATCACATCAGTTCCGACCCATAGCGACCCTGTATAGGGTTTCCAAGGAGCGGCTGGTGAGCATGAACCCCGCTGACCTTACTGATCAAACTGACTTTGCAGTCCAGCACAGTACCCCACAGTGTTAGACCAAGATTCCATATATGGAGTTCTGGTGTGGTGCGGTAGGTTAATGCGCTGGCCTGCTAAGTCGTTTTGGTATATTTTAAAGCCATCAGAGATAAGGGCATAGTCTTTGGTATCATCCCAATCTGGAATTTTATTTCCATTTCCAGCACCATTATCATGTATGTTGTTAAATGTCATTGAGTCTGTTTCGATTCCTAGCAACCCTGTACAGGGTTTCCAAGACTCTTGAAATCTTTATGAGTGCAGAAAGCCTCATATGTCTTACATGGAGCGGCTGGTGGGTTTGAAACACCAACCTTGTGGTTCGCAGTGCAGTGTTTATCATATGGAGCCACTGCACTCTCATTATTATGTATAATCCACGTTAAATTTAGAGAACTGATAAGCTAGACGAAGTGAAGTCTTCTCTGTCATGTTTTGGCTTTTATTGCTGGTGAATTGAGTATGATTTGAGTATATTGCTGTTGTTAAGTGCTGTCAAGTCGGTTCCAACTCATAGCGACCCTGTATAGAGTTTCCAAGGAGCAGCCGGTGAGTTTGAACTGCCGACCTTGCAGTTCAAACTACCTTGCACCTCAGTACTTATCCTTCAGCGCCACATCAGTACTCCTTTAAATTTAAATATAGCATTCATAAAATTACTTCAGTCTTAAAATATGTTGAAGTCACTTAATCCTTATTCCCCTCAATTTTTTTGCCCTCAAACCTTTAATGTAAAGGTACTGTCTCAAAATGGGGGAGTGGGAGGGTGGGCATATACTCATTTTGGGAGTCCTGTTGTGGTGCTATAGGATAAGCACTGGACTGCTAACCACATGGTCAGTTCAAACCCACCATCCACACGTTGGAAATCGATACAGGATCCTGACTCAGTGGCACTTAACAACAAGATACTTGTTTTGAAAAGAAAAATCACTCCAGAGACATTGTGGGGAAGAGATTGATTGATGGTTGTTAAGTGCTGTTGAGTTGGTTCCAACTCATAGTGACTCTGTATAGAGTTTCTGAGGCACTGTAAATCTTGGTGGGAGTGAAAAGCCTCTTCCTCCAATGGAGCAGCTGGTAGGCTCAAATTGCCAACCTGTGGTTCACAGTCCAGTGTTTATCCTATGGAGCCTCCAGGGAAAGTATTAAAGGTATATAAAGTTGGATACAGCACTTAACAACAACAACAACTGATTGGACTAGCTAAAATTCAAAAGTAGGTGAGATTGTGGAGCAGCAGGAATTCAATTATTGCTGATAGAGCAAACGGTACAGTAACTTTAGAAGGCATTCTGGCAGTTTCTTGTAATGCTAAATACGGGCTTACCAACCCAGTAATCATGCTTCTAGGTATTTACCCAAGTAAGTTAAGAACCTATGTCCACATAAAAACCTGTATGATTTGTTAAATGTAAAACTAATGATCTGATCTGTCAACTGTCACTCAATTCAAGATAAAAAGGTTTAAAAAAGAAATAAAAAACGTAACTCCCTCTAACCCTGTCTCATTAACATGTTGTTGTTAAATACTGTCTAGTTGAGTCCAATTCATAGTAACCCTGAATAGGGTTTCCAAGAAATGGCTGGTAGGTTTGAACTACCAACCTTGTGGTTAGCAGTCCAGTATTTATCCTACAATGCCATGCTAGGACCCCTCTCATTACCATAGAGGTGAGAAATTGTAAAACACAAGATAATGACATCAGATCACAGAATAGTAGAAAATGACATAATACTGAGAATTATGGCCTTGCCGGATTGACCCATACTTTCGAGAGACACAGTTTAATCCATAAGAGCTAGATACATGTTTTATGAACTGTTCCTGATGACATCATCATCATCTCCACTTCCATTCAAGTCAGGTTGATTTCACCCTCGCTCACATTCTCATCTTTGAATGGAACCGCTTTCTCTGGCCTAGTTCAGATTATCTTTGGCCTAAACTCTTACAGTAGAATCGCTGGGTGGCACAAATGGGTAAGTGCTCAACTACCTAGCTTAAAGGTTGACAGTTTGAAACTCAACAAGAGGTGCCTCAGAAGACAGGCATGATGGGCTGTTTGCCAAATGTCAGAGTCTTGAAAACTCTATAGAGCAGTTCTGCTTCGCACACACCATGAATCAGAATCAACTCTACAGCAACTAACAAACTCTTCAATAGCAATCTAATTTCCCTCTGTGTTACCAGTTTCTCAGTTCAGCTGTACACTATTACCTGGTTTAAAGCAAGCTTAGCTGTATTCTGTTCTGTTTCAGGTTAGTTCTTATGTTCATATCTGGAATGTCCTCTTTCTAGCACCAGTGTTTCAACCCCAACTGTGGAAATTGTTTTCATCTTTTGCCAGTTCAAATGTTGTTGTTTTTAAGTGCCATCGAGTCGGTTCCAAGTCATAGCGACCATTTATAGGGGTTCCAAGGAGCAGCTGCTGAGCTTGAACCGCCAACCTTGCAGTTCAAACCAACTTACAGTCCAGAACATTAAACCGCAGTGCCACACCAGGACTCCAGTTCAAATGTTAGCTCCTCTGAAAAGCCCACAGAATTTAAATTAATTATTCTTTTCTTTGCGCTCTTCTAACACTCTTTCCCTCCATTGAGCGTTTATTTTATTTTGCCACCTTACCTCTGCTGAAAAGGGCTCTACCATAGTTATCCTTTGTATTTTTCACAACATCTAGCATATTAATTTACATGAAATATTTTAATAAGCCTTTGATTAGTATATATAGACATGCACACACAATGAAATGCTCTTCTTCATTTCTTCACATTCTTCATAGTGCTATGAAGTTGCTCCTAGAAGTAGATTGCTGCAGAATGTTTAATGATAAATGTCGTGGGTAAAGAGTTTAGATTTACCATCTGGACAAAGCTATCACTGTTGAGATAACTTTTATTTCTCATTTTTATTTTACCCTATATGAGGGTATTTCAAAAAGTTGAATTAAAAAAGATCATTTTTTCATAAACTTTTTGAAGCCCCATTGGAATACCTTGTATCTAAATTCTTTAACAAATGAAATTTTCTTTTAACTGTTTTTTAATGAATTGAGTGAAGGTTTACAGGAAAAATCATCAGTTTTATGTTCAACAAATCATATACTTTTGTTTCATCTTAATGACTGCAGTGCCCTCCATGTAAGAACTGTTCCTCCCTGTGATTCCTATTTCCATTCCACCCACCTTCCCATCGCTCCTCGCCGTTGTCCTTAGGTGCATGTTGGCCCTTTGATTGTGAAAGATTGATCGTTCCATCATTCATAGGGAAGCATAGTGTTGCTCTTCTCCCTAAATACTGCTTAGCTGAAAGTTGGGCCACAAGAATGAGTGCCTCTCCAGACCTGAAGGGTAGTTGAGGGCCGTAGTCTCAGGTTCCTCCAGTCTCTTTCTGACCTGTAAGCCCAGTCTTTTTTTTTTTTTTTTTTAATAATTTTTATGTTGAAACCACTTTTATAATGTAGGATGATTTTATCGTTTTAGGTTGAGAATTTCTTTTGTATGGGATCTCCATTAGCAGTTTTTTTGGCATTGCGTGGCATCCGCCCAGGAAACACTGGAAGTCAAGACCATATTTTGCCAAGAGAGATTTGTAATCGGTTATTAAATATTTTTCATCCAACAGATCCAGTGGTGAGTTGCAAATACAGACATTTTTCTCTCAGTAAATTGTTGCTAGAAAGATATACAAAACACCTTGAAGCATACCATTGAAATAATGAGAAAGATTTCATTTGTCAGATTTTATTTGCAAAAGTTAATGTTCTTAAAACATTTGTCTTTTCGTTAATTTAGGGCTCATTCAGTGACAACTAGTTAAGATGGTCTTTTTAAGTTAAGTGCCATCAAATTGGTTCTGGCTCATAGTGACCCTGGATAGGGTTTCTAAGGAGTGGCCAGTAGATTTGAACTGCCAACTTTGAAGCTAACAGTCCAGTGCTTATCCTGTAGCGCCACACCAGGATTCTACTCGTACTATAATGGCATAATTTTACAATAGTATCTCTGAACGTATAATACAAGGGACTGCACTCTCAAGCTTTAACCAGTTGTAATAACAGTAACCTAGCAAACAAATTTTGAAAATCTAGACTTAAAATGTTTTTTCTATTAAACATGTTACAATATTGAAATGTGTTTGGTAGAACCTCTTTGAAATGGAACTATTCAAATATTATGTAATTAAACATAAAAATTAGAGCTGCTTACTGTGGAATGTTAGAAAATTTTCATAGGGATATGTACATTTTCTATTTTGCTTGTAAATAATAGAAAAAATGTATACTATATATAATATTTTAGGAGCTCTAGTAGCATAGTATTTACGAGTTGGGCTGCTAACCTCAAGGTCAGCAGTTCAAAATGACCAGCTGTTCCATGGGAGAAAGATGAGGCTTTTTGCTCATGTAAAGATTTACAGCCTTGAAAACCCTGTACAGGATCACTATGAGTCAGAACCGACTCCATGGCACATAACCACCACCAACATATATAATATTTACATTATACATCTATGCATTTAAAATGCAGTAAACAATTTTTTTTTAATATGAGTACTGCAAAGATTTTACATCCTGGTAAAGAGTTTAATGCCAATTAAGATTTTAAGACAAGGAAAATGTTTTCTTAAACCCTTTTCAGAATAAGACTGGGTATAACTAAGTTGTTGTTGTCATTGTGTGCCGTGGAGTTGGTTCCTACTCATAGCGAGCCTGCATAGGGTTTCTGAGGCTGTAAATCTTTACGGGAGCAGAAAGCCTCATTTTTCTCTTGCAAAACAGCTGCTAGTTTCGAACTGCTGACTGTGAGATTAGCAGCCCAATTCATAACCACTATGCTACCAGATCTCCTTATCAAAGCTAATTTGGAGTCCTGGGGTGGCACTGTGGGTTAATGCGCTAGACTGCAAAGCCATTTGAACTGCAAGGTTGGCAGTTCAAGCTTACCACCTGATCCTCGGAAACCCTATACAGGGTTGCTATGGGTCGGAACCGACTCGACGGCACTTAACAACAACAATTCTTTGAAAAGAAATTTTCTATAATTGAATAAACTTTTAAGGGATCTTTAGCCTAATACAAAGTAATTATGACGTTGAAATCAACCCTAGAATTTTAGAAATACTCTAATTTGTTGAAGAATAGAAATTGCTATATTTGACAAATATCCTTACTGGAATGTAATATTAGATTCAAATACAGAATATACCATCTTTGTCAAATAATTTCAGAGACTGCTTCTTATCTGTATAATGGGACTTCAAAAAGTTCATGGGAAAATTTCATTATCTTTCAATTCCATTTCTCCATAATCTATTTGCAGTCCCCTTGTATGATGCAGATGTGACAATATTTTACCTCATAGGATTTTTTAAATTAAGTAAAATATACATGATTGCAGCCCAGCTATAGTGCAAGCATTTCATTAATATATATCGAAGGTGAACTTTCTGGGTTAACTCTGAGCTTTCATTGAATAAATACCCTGTCCTTTATCTTAAAACTTCAATGTCCCAAAATCACTTTTTCATTATAAATTGTTTTCATTATCCATTTTACAAAAACTAAATATTTTGTGTCATAATTGTGCTCGGCAGTCTTTGTAGACGTTATCTGTTCTTCCCAACATTACTTTGAGTTACGAAGGCTTATCTCCTTTTTATAATCATGACTATGAGACTCTGAGACCCAGTAACCTGACAGGCATCATACAGTTTCATAAGTAATAGAACTAGAATATGAACTAGGGGATTCTGACACCAAGTCTTTTTTTTTAGTTTTAACTTTTTGTGGTGAATTGAGTGAAGGTTTATAGACAGGATCATCAATAAATTTACATTCAATAAATCTTATACTTTGTTTCATGTAACAAGTTATCCCACTTCTTCCCTCTGGTTTATTTCCATTCCAACCACCTTCCCATCCCTTCTCAACTTTTTAGGTAAATGTTGCCCTTTTGATTTCATATGATTGGGTATTCCATGGTGGTAAGCATACCTTACTATAGTATTATTGTCCCCCTGTATCTACTGCTTAGCTGAAAATTGGGCCATGAGGAGGGTGAGTTCCTTTTCAGACCTGAGGGGTGGTTGAGGGATATAGCCTCAGACTGCTTCAGTCTCTTTCTGACCAGTAAGCACGGCCTTTTTAAAAAAAAAAAAAAAAAACATGGAGTTTCAGTCCACGTTTTCTCCCACTTTATTTGAGACTTTCTAATTTGATCCCTTTCAGAGCAGTTGGTAGTAGTAGCCAAACACCATCCAGTTCTGGTCATAGAGTCATAGAGACTGATTTTCACAAATATATGTTTGAAGTATCCACTTTACCAGTTCCTCCTTTAAGGTCTATTTAGTGTGTACAGTACGCTAAGAACAGCTTAATAAAACCATGTGTTATGGCTTAATGTTGTCTTCTTTGAATTTCTTTCTTTTTTGTCAAGGCTTATAGATTAGAACCGTTAATACTGAAACACTACAGCAACATTTCACCTGTCCAGATTCACTGGTACAATACTTCAAATCCTCTACCTTATGAGCATATGAAGCCAAGCTTTCTGAACCCAGCAAAAGAACCTACCTCAGTTTCAGAGAATGAAGGCATTTCAACCATACCTAGCCCAGTGACCTCACCAGTCTTGTCCCGCCGACACTATGGAGAATCAATAACAAATATTGGCAAAGCAAGCATATTAGGTAATTGTTCTTAACCATTCTTTATCTGTGAATATAGACATTTTTTGTAAAGGCATTAAATTTGAGAGGCTGTCAAATACTCTGACTTCTAATGGTAAACCCCTGTGTCTAGAATTCACTGCTCTTTCCAATTATACTTGAGGGCTGAAGGCCTCAGTGTTCTCTAATTAAATCAGACCTTATAGTTTCAGAACATGAGATCATTGGATAGACACAAAAAATGGTCTGAGAGTCAAGTCCCTCACCTTAATCATGGCTTTACTGCTTACTGGGAAACCTTGGATAAATCATGTGACCTTTAATGATCGACTTTCTCATCTGTGAAATACAGAGAGTAAGCCCTGGGTTACTAACTGTAAGGTTGGTGGTTCAAACCCACCAGCCACCTTACAGGAGAAAGATGAGACTTCCTGCTCTATACACTTTTACAGCCTCAGAAATGTTATACTACAGAGTCACTCCAAGTTGAAATTGACTCAGTGGCTAGGGGTTTTGAATTGTAAGGGTGCCCCCCATCCCTAAACGAGTTCTCTGAAATTCTAAAAATCTCTGAAGCTGTGTTCTCCTTGAGGGCAGCAGAGATACTTGATTCCTCTTTGAACAAACTTCAGTCCCTGCACAATGTTTGGTGTTCGCTGGAGCTCCCTTCGTAAGCTTCATTGATTCCATTACAATTGCTTTTTGTTACAAGTTGCCATAATATAAAATGCCACAAGATGGCACTATTAATGGGCTTTATCTCTTGGTTTCATTTGATATTTCACTTTGTCATACTCCATTTTATTTATGGCTGTTTTATAACATAGCCACTTAACTTCGATAATAAACCTAACAATAGTAAATCTATCCCATGTCCATTTCATGATTCCTTTATTAAAGGTCTTAATCTTGCCAAGTATTTTAATAACAGCAATCATGTGAATAAAATAAAATCTTTAGTCACATGTTCATAAACTATATTCCTAGAGGTTACATAATTTTTGTTCTGTTGGACACCATTTTTATTTAAAAATCTATTAATGTAAATTGAAGTTTTCTTAAGGTTTATGTTCCCTGGAAAAACATGACTGTTGCTTAGTTCCTCTCTGCCAGTTGGCTATAATTATGGTTTGTGCTTTTTAGCTTTGTGTGTGGTATAATTCAACGGAATGACTCTTCTGTTTTGTTAAATACAGGGGCTGCTAGCATTGGTAAAGGACTGGGAGGAATGTTGTTCTCAAGATTTGGACGTTCATCTTCACAGGCATCTGAGACATCAAAAGAGTCAATGGAAGAGGAGAAGAAGCCACTTGCCTCTCCTCCTACTACCACTGTGGCAACGCAGACCCTTCCACACAGCAGCTCTGGGTTTCTTGATTCTGCATGTTAGTTCATACTGTTCTTTCCTTAAATTTATATATTGTATCTTTCTAAAACTTGAGAACAGGGAGGGCTAAAAGCTTAATACCAGTGGTCAACTCCCAAGTCCTGAAGCATACATCAAGCTGAAGGGAGAGAGATAAAACCAACTTCTGCTTATTTTTGCTTATATTTTGAAAAAAAAAAATCCAGGTAAATTCCATTTTAGTCTCTGCATTGGTGAACTAATCATTAAGAACATGAATAATCAGGACCTCATGGCATATGCCATCTGAGTTTTATAAAGCAGCTTTTTGTTACTGTTGTTTTTTAATATGGTCTGTTCAGTCTTAAAAATTCTGATAGCCATAATGCTTCATAATCTAGTCCTTAGACTTCAAAAAGAACTTGAACTCTGTCAAAACCATCCTGTTCCTAACCCCATAGTTGCCTTCATCCAGCCTAACTTTAAGACCTTTAAAGCTTAGACATTTTATTAAATTCACTAGCAATCCTACCACAGCTACCTAATATAAAGTTGGTAGGATGAACTCTGGACGGCTAACTGCAAAGTCGACAGTTCAAACCTACCCGCCGCTCCTTGGAAACAGAGTCACTATGAGTCAGAACTTACTCGATGGCACTTAACAACAAGAAAAAACAGTCAATAGATGGGGCTTAAGGTTTTTGTAGTTTCAGTTGAACTTAACATCACAATGGGCCTTTTCCCAGTAGACTTTCTAAGTTTAAAAACTTGATTAGGTGTGAATCACTAATAAATTTAGTCTCTGTGTGTATGTATTATTTATATATACATTATATATGTATGTGTATATATATATATACACACACTGTGGGTTAATGTGCTGGACTGCAGAGTTGGTTTAGACTGCAAGGTTGGCAGTTCAGGCCCACCAGTCACTCCTTGGAAACACTATACAGGGTCGCTATGGGTCAACGAACTCAATGTCACATAACAAAAACAACGTATATATATATATATATATATATATATATATACACACACACACACACATTGAATTATTAGTTTCACAACTATTATCTATATATTATACATGTAAGGGTCTAAACTTAAGCATTATTATTAAGTGCCCAGTAAAATAAAATGAATACATCAAGTCCTATTTTGGCACTCTAAGTTATGATAACCAATGGACTGCTAACCACAAGGTCAGCAATTCAAATCAACCAGCCATTCCTTGGAAATCCTATACAGGGTTGCTATGAGTGGGAACCGACTTGATGACACTTCACAGCAACATTTTCCCATTGACTTGTATAAGGAAATGTAGAATCTGAAGTTGACTACTAGCTTTCTGTAATACTAAAAGGGAAACTTTGCTCTCTTTCTTTACAAATTTCAGATTTGTGTATCTGCTACTCTAAAATTGAGAATGACCAGCATCCATTGCCATCCATAAAACTTGCTTTAAAAAGAAGTGAATCCGAATAGTTCAGGTGTGATAGTCCTGGAGGTTGGATCACCCCTCCACAGTCAGCCGTACTCCCACATGAGTTATCAATAGGGTTGAATGTTCCTATTTGGGCCAGTAGCATTTTTAACTTAATCCTTTCTGTAGCAGACTCTGAGTACCAAAAAACTATATTATTGCAAGTCTTTTGAGTGCTGTCTAAAATTATTCTCTTAAAACTTTTTCTGCTAAAAAAAAGTTCACTTTGAATTTTCTTATAAGTCCCTATACTGTTATTGACTTAAGCTCTCAATTTTACTTAATATCAAATTTTTGTTTTAATGTTTTGTTCAAAACATTAAAAATAGTGTTTTGAAATATCAGATTTATGTTGTGACATGCAGAAGTCAAAAGAAAACACTTCTGGGGAAGATTAATTTCAAATAATTCTGAGAGATAAGTTATAATTCCTTTTAATATTGTCAGTGTACAACAGTGATGCTCATAGACCTTAGGGTAAATGAAGGAGCAAGGAGAGCAGACTGGGATTTGAGCCCAGAAAAAGGATAACATAAGCTACATTAATATTAATAATCAAATCTGTATGATTTTTATAGAGATATGAGGGAACATATAGAACAGCTAGAGATTGACTATTTAACACAGTAATTTCAAAATGATAATAGAGAAACCTTCCATTTCTTCTTGATTACAATAATCTGTAGAGGTACTGAACTGTTTTATATTATTATATTTTGATAGCTTAACAAAATACATTTTCTGCCATTCTATATTCTGTTCCTGATGGTAAAATTCATTGGCAACTATAGATTCAATTAAATGTAAGCTAATCACATTTCTTAGTTACATATATCCATCTCTGGACATAGATAGATGTTAACTATTACAATTGAATGACTACTACAGTAGGATTTTGCCTCCTAAAATCCCTAATACTTGCCTTACTAATTCTTCGACTTGCTCCAATAATATGTCTTTCTCTATAATCTTGATTTAAGCAGCTATCTTATGTTGTAATTGCTGTTTTGGCTGTATCTGGCAAATCATGAAGCCTTTCTTCCTTAAATCTTCTTTCTGAAATGTGGTTGTGATTAAGTAATCTTGGCTTCCTTTCTTTTTTCCTTGTACTCATGCTGAATGCTTCAGTTCTTCTGTTACTCTGAAGCTCTGACTTTGATTCTCTGGATATTTGAGGGTAAGATGGACACAGACTGAATTCATGATCAATCAGGGTTTCTCTCTTTGAAGAGTAAGTGTTGTTAGTTGAAACCTACTTTATTGCCATTAAGTTGAACTTATACAGTGTTCTTCATTTCTTTTGAAAGATTTAGAAAAGTTAAATTTTCTGTGGTTTTACTGTTTCACTTTTTGTGCCCTCCTGTGTTAATAGCTTATGAAAGGAAAAGATCTGTTCTTTTTAGTGTTGTTTTACCTTTAGGTTAGAACTTAAATGATTATAAATTTCAGGAGTGTCTGGATGTTTACAGATTATTACATTTTATTTTCAGAGTTAATTATGCTTACATTTTCCATGAAAGAGGTCTTCACAGAAACCGAAGTTTGTACATTTCTATGTAGGCTAGGTTTAAGCACCTTACTGGGGAGTACTGTTCTAAACTTTGGGCCACCACATCATTGAAGGCCATGTTTAACCATCAGCCAATCTTTTACAGCATCTTGTGTTTTTTTTTCACAGATTTCAGACTTCAGGAATCGTTCTTTAATCTCCCACAACTTCTTTTTCCGGAAAATGTAATGCAGGATAAAGATAATACCCTCGGTATGGTATATGTCAGGAATAGCATTCAGAATACTATGAAAATGATCGTAGAGTTCTGCTGCTCATTAAACAATTACATCATTTCTTCTGTATGATCAGCTTCGATGTTACCATTACAGACTACCATATATGTATTTTCTTCCTGTATTTTCTAATCTTTAATGATCATGACCCTGATACTTGATTAGCCAGTTATTGTGCAAAAATATATAATATTCAGTACACTCTGCCATTTTCTTTCTTCTCTATTTTCCTGAAGACTTCAAAGAGGTTCACTGTTCTTTTCATGTATTACACGTAGATTTAAAAGAAATTCATAGTAAAAAGAATTTAATCATTCCTAGTTATCTCAGTTAAGGAGCTCTGGTAGCATAGTGGTTATGAATAGGGCTGTGAACCCCAGGGTCAGCAATTCGAAACTACCAGCTGTTCTGTGGGAGAAAGATGAGACTTTCTGCTCCCATAAAGATTTACAGCCTCAGAAACCCCGTGCAGGGTCACTATGAGTCGGAACCAATTCCACAGTACTTAACAACAACAACAACAGCAGTTATCTCAGATACCAGGAACATGACCACTTAAGGCCATAGCCGATACCTGATTTTAACATAAATAATCAAATATTTAATGTATCTTAAGGATAGATTCGATTTTTTTAATTGTATTAGTGACTGCAAAATATATTTCAGTCTTCATTTTCAGCAGATTCTAATTTATCACCAAGGATGAATCTTAGCAATTTAACATTATTTTTATCACTAACTTTTCATTCCTTTTCACAGCTCTTCTCTCTTTTCTTTTTTTTCCTTAAAAACTGGATTTTGTCTTTGACAGAAAACATGACACAGATTTTCTTTGAGTATTTAGCCCTATTTTAGTGTCCTAATTTATTTAGTGCCAGTTTTCATGATTTTGTTTCTATTTTCAAAAAGAACTCTGTCTTATTATTTGATATATACATACCAAGACAATGTAACAAGCTGGGGAAGTTTTGTTTTTGTTTTTGTTTTGTTTTGGCTTGGGTTCCATAGCAATGGTTTGTGTTGTTGTAACTCAGTGAATTCCCTTCCAGGAATGATCTTATATAACTGCTCTCTCTGCTCCCTGCCCATGTAATAGCCTGTCACTTTCAGAAGGAAAGAATTCTATTTTGTACTTTTTGCATTTTTTGTAGGGAAAAGGAAAATTAATCCACTCACTTATACATTTATCCTGCATTAAAATAGCAAATGCCCTTACATTCACTATTTCAAAACTTTCCCAACTACTTAGGCAGTTCAAACACTAATCATAACTGCACCAAAGTAATTCTTTTGATGCTATGCGTATGACTTGTTTTTTATCTTCCCCTCCTTTTATTCATTTAACAATTGTTTAATGTTTACCACGAGCAAAGATATACCATGCTAGTCCTTAGAAAAGATACCAAGAGGAAACACACTTCAGTACTGCCCATAAAGATACTAAATGCTGGTATGGAAGATAGCTATTATTCAGAAGGCATATATTCTAGTTGAGAAATGGATAACTACATAAATCCATAGTCCAATGTGATAAGCTACATAAGAGTGGTACAGCTAAAGGACTCAGATCTGAAGAATGAGAAATTGCTTTCAGCTGGAGAAATAATACAAGGCTGTGTGGAAGAAGTAGAATTTGAACATGCAGGAATGAAAACACATTGCAGAGAGAAGAAATGGCGTGAACAAAAGCACAGAGCTGAGAAGCATTGAGTACGTAGAGACCCATAGGTTCATTTTCTTTAGAAGACCCAAGGATGAGTAGAAAGAAGTAGTTCTGAGTAAGATTAGCAAAGTTTGTTAAACCAGATTGTAGAGGACCCAATAAATCGGGCCATCATTTGAAGTTGTTTATATTTAAGATTTATCTATAAAGTCCATATAGAAATGTTAGGTGTTTGAATGTCTTTCAGGATAAATTGATTTTGGAAAATAATTCAGAGATAAGGCAACTAATTTTATAAAACTCATTTTAGAGTTTTTGTTGTTACCTTTATAAAATAAAGGCTAGTAAAAAAGAATATTATTAAATATATTTTGTGATAATATAATACAACCTGTGATCATTCATAAAACAAAATGCTCCTTGAGTGTCAGATACCTACTCCTGTTGTGGTGCTGTAGGATCAGCACTGGACTGCAAACCATAAGGTCGGCAGCTGAAACCTCAGAAACCCTATCTATACAGGGTCACTGTGAGTTGGAACAAGGAGCTCTGGTAGTGTAGTGGTTATGAATTGGGCTGCAAACCTCAAGATCAGCAGTTCGAAACTACCAGCTGTTCCACCGGAGAAAGATGAGGCTTTCTGCTCCCATAAACATTTACAGCCTCGGAAACCCTGTACCAGGTTGCTATGAGTCGGAACGACTCCACGGCACATAACCACCACCACCACCACCATGAGTCGGAACGGACTCAATGGCATTTAGCAGCAACTACATAAAGTGTATGGGGTCGTTATGAGTCTAAACCAACGCCACGACGCACAACAACAACAACATAAAATGTATAGTTGCTCTGAAACAGCACAGAAATAAGAAGGCATAACTTTGCCAGCAAGAACTCTGAATATCTTATTATGACTGAATCTTAAATCATTTGGAAGCATATTTAGAGTATCCTCTACTGGTACCTTGAATTTTTTGTTGTCTACCTGGAGCCAAAAATCATAAAATGATGGCCATAATGATTTCTTACAAATAAAACTTTTAAGAATTTTTTTTAAAAAACATCTCTTCAGGGAGCCTGAATGCTTCCAATAAGTTTTTTTGTATTCAAAAACCTGACCAATATATACACTTTTAATACAAAGATATTTATTTTCTAATGATACATGTTAATCTTTAATACCATGTGCATGCTGACAGTCAGCCTTATACACAGAAGTATTTTCTGATAATAGCACAGTACTAATGGAGTCCTGGTGTGGTGCTGTGGGTTAATGTGCCAGACTGCAAAGCCGTTTAAACTGCAAGGTCGGTGATTGAAGCTCACCAGCAGCTCCTCAGAAACCCTATACAGGGTTACTATGGATCATAACCTACTCGACGGCACTTAACAACAACAACAATGGCTGTTTATGTAGATTGTGGACATTGAGCTCCTCACCTCCCAAAAAAGATTAATTGAAACAACATACGCAAACTCCTGGTGATTATTCAAAGCCAACTGTCCTCCTCATTTTGACTTCTCTTGAACTGCTCAAGAACCTTACTCTTTTTGGTGTGGGTATGGTAATTTTAGCACTTAGCTACTCAACAGAGGAAAAGGTGATGATTTTATGTAATCCTTTCTTTCTAAGAGAAACTAGGAAAAAGCTACCAGCCTAAACAGCATCATCCATTCTTAATATGTGGTAATAATGAAAAACTCGGTCTAAGGCAACTCCTTGTAAATTTCAATCTACTTTAGCCAAAAACAGATCTCAGATCATATATAGAATAATGCTGCACTGTAGAGCTTCATTCTTAGGAATTCTATGATGTACGTGAAAGGGAGGAAGAAGAATGGGATATTGGCCCACTGAGTAACCTCCTTCACCAACATAATGAAGGCCAACTACACTAACAGACTGCCCAGGGTGAATGTGTAAGCATGACTGACTGAATCAGGTTCATCACAGAGAAACTGACTGCCCAAGTCCCCATTTTGGTGGGGACAACCTAAAGATATTAAAAGGGAATAGGAGAGCAGATCTAAATATCACTGGTTAAAGTCCCTGTAAGTTTTAAGAAAGGGCACATAATATAATAGAGCGATTAAATTTAATGTTTGAGTGACTGTTAGAGGAAAGGCAGATATATTCCACAGTAGTAACATATCAAGAATAAATTCCAGGGACATAAAACCAAAACGAGCCAAGTAACATTTGTTGAAACAAGAAGAATCTCCCTGTCTTTGGCTTTAAAAGCGAATGAATAATTCAACCCAATATTGTCAAACTAGGATACCATTATGCGAGGGCATTTGAAAGTGAATTCTTCAAAACTATCAACTTGGTCTTCTTCCTTAATGTTAACATGAATGATCCTCATCTCTTCTGTTTTTCCTCTTATGCTTTTTTTCTTTGTAACTAACTTCATCTTGACTCGTCATCATGCCAGAGAATTCCAGTTTCCTCTTTTTTATCTTCCTATCTTTTGTACCAGAATATATCTACAAATCTGAACACAAATGTATGTATGGCATGCAAAAGATGTAAGATTGTGACATTACCCCCCAGGTCCACTTAATGACTTAAGCTTTTTTGACCTGTATTGGATTCGCTTATTATAACTTACATTTTATAAGTGTTTTAAAGTGTCTGGGGTAGTAACAGTTTGATTGGTTTTGTTGTTTTGTTTTTAAGACAGATCTTTCAAAACACTATATAATAGTTCATTGACAATTTTAATGAATTACCTAAAGATCAGATGGTCATTTTTTTTAAGTATTTGTTGCTAAGGATTTATTAAATGAGACCTTCACTAATCTTTTCCAACAGGAATTACAAGGGTTTTCTGAATTTTAGAAAAGATGATTGAATTCACTGAATTGTTTGAGTATTACAAGCCAAGTCATTCCTTCTAAGACTCAACCAGTGTTTCTCCCAGTTTAATTCCCCCAGCCATCCAGTGGATTCTTGTTTTATTAAACAGACACTCAGTGAGCACTTGTATGTTCCAAACACAGCATTAGACACTACTAATGGAATAGAGACTAGAGTGTCTGATAGCTGCCTTTGAGGAATTTAGACTTGTAGGTAAGAAAATATTGTATGACTATACAAGGAGCTCTGGTAGTGTAGTGGTTACGAATCGGGCTGCGAACCTTAAGGTCAGCAGTTCGAAACTACCAGCCGCTCCGCGGGAGAAAGATGAGGCTTTCTACTCCCGTAAAGATTTACACCCTCGGAAACCCTGTACAGGGTCGCTATGGGTCGGACCCGACTCGACGGCACTTAACAACAACAACATACAAGGGTAAGATTATCTTCCAACATATTGTCCCACAGAGCAAGTTGCTGTACAAAACCAGTTACCTTCAAGTCTCCTGCATAAGGTTTTCAGTGACAGATTTTTCAGAGATAGATAACCAGGTTTTTTTTAGGTGCATCTGGTTGGACTTGAGCCTCAAACCCTTGGGTTAGCAGCTAAGATTATTAATTGTTTTCACCACCCAGACACCACTCACAGTGTCTGATTAAGGGGTTGTTGAGAAATCTTTTGCACTCCTATAGCATTTTTGTTTCAGTTTTTGATGGGATGTTTTCCATATTTTACACATATTTACACACAAAAATTACAAATGAGAAATGATCCCTATCTTTTGGCCCCAGGTATACTGTATGATGAACTCCTGGTATGGGACTGTAAAATAAGCACTGGACTGTTAACCACAAGGTCGGCAGTTCAAACCCATCAGCTGCTCCTTGGACACCCTGTGAGTCAAAACTGACTCCACAGCCCTATACAACAACATACTGTATAATACCATGTTCCAGCAAATAAAGTGTTTTATTCTTCTTTATTATTCCAAGGAGCCATATGACCTAAGTATACAAAGAGAAGGACTCCTCCAAAGAGAATCCTGAACTACTGAGGCTCTTTCAAGTGTTTGTTTCCACACAATTAGGATCAAAGATTTTTTTAAAAAACTAATATACTACCTATATTTTTATACTCTAATAGATCTATGTAGAACATATCTTACTGGAACTTGTATTCATTTGTTTTAACTTCTTTTCTTTTTAGTGGAACTGGATCACAGGATTGACTTTGAACTCAGAGAAGGCCTTGTGGAGAGCCGCTATTGGTCAGCTGTCACGTCGCATACTGCATATTGGTCATCTTTGGATGTTGCCCTCTTTCTTTTAACCTTCATGTACAAACATGAGCACGATAATGAGGCGAAACTCAATTTAGATCCAATCTGAACTCTTGAAGGACATTTAATGGCCCCAAACGGGTTTTTTTTTTTTTTTTCCTGTTAAAATGTGTGTGTCAAGACATGGAGATTTCAGGTTTAAGTATGTTTCAGTTTTGTTTAGGGCAAGAAATATTTGAATTTAAAAGCACCTTACTGTATTTGAAAGAGAAAAAGTGACCTAAAAAAGTTATTTATAGTTTTAATCATTTTGATTATGAACCTGACAAAACCCTTTACAGAGAGCATCAAGCAAGACCTGGAAACATGGGAGGTTTGGGTGAACTGCATGTAAAGAGAATCAGTCATGATCTAATGTCTTCCAGATAGAAAAGTGTACTAATGGGTTGGATCTAATATACTAACCAAAATATGTTCTAAATCTAAAATGGTCACGATCCAGTGTATTCTCGATAACGATCATGAGATGGTATTATTTTAGATTTCTCTGAAGGCCTACATTTCCACTACTTCATTGAAAAAGCAGTATAACATTTTAAATGTTTTGAGTTTAACTTTAGAAAAACTAATGCTAAAAAAGAAACAATATTTGAATTCCTGTATTTATATAATGTATTACCTCTGACTAATTGTTTATTTCAGTGTATGAAATGCATATTTTTTACTGTTTCCTTTGAACATAATTTAAGAACCACTTTATTTTCTATGGTGTTAAGACCCTTTTTTCTCAGAATTCCATCTTTGTACTCTTCAGATGAATATATAGACACTGTGGCATACTTTCAGTATTTTTTTTTTCCATTAAAAACATGTGGTTTCATACAAATAACATTCATTTAGTAATTTTAGAAGAAAATAAAAATAATTATGTCACGTGTACTTCAGCTAAAGTTGACATAGAGCACTTTAAAATGAATACATTTCATTAACTTTATTGAAAAATTAGTAAACTCCTTTGGAGTATGACACATAGTTTAAATGTATAAATATGTGTGTGCCAAACAATTAATATAAGTCAAGGGGTGGAGTGCCACTAACTTACTTTTTAAATGTTGAGTAAAACATGATCAAGACAGAAGCCACAGAAGACCAGGATTCCCAGGCGCTAGAGAGGTTTTCCTCAGCTGCAAACATTTCCACAGTGCTTTTCATCTGAGGAGCTCAAAGTACTTTTAAAAAATAATACATTCAATAATCTATGTAGTTGCTCCAGGAGGTAAATGAGTGTTCTTCTCAGGTTACATGTTAATAGACTAAGTAAGGCACCAAACATTTAAAGTGCCTTGAATTCGATTACATAGCAGATCAGAGGAGCTTAGACTGAAATCAGACCATATTCTCTCATATGCTGTTCAGTGATTACTAATTCTCATGTGACCTCTTAGTAGTTTGCAAACAGTAATAATGATGGTGACAGTAATAATAGAAGTTGAAATCCAGATTTAGGAGAAACGGCTGTGAAGCCACTATCTTACCTTACTTGTCTTATACTTTCTTGGGCTGTCAGACACAGACATACTTTAGAGGGCATTAGTAGCCATCTTTGCCACAACCAACCCTCACTGCTGAATGGCTCACACTAGGTTCCACCCACGGTGCTGTCTTTGCTTATCTTGCAAGGATTCTTCTTAGCTTTCCAATAATCATTGTCTTAACTGGAAGCAAAGCCGATCAGTTGCTTGCATATCTTAGCTATTCCTTTCTTTGTAAGGAAAGTACAGTCCATGATTTACTGTAGGTTTTACTCCCCACCATCAGTATTCTTGGCTCTCTTGGCGTTTAATTGACTTTTCACAAAATAAAACACATCTTTTTAGTGTGTAAAAAAATCCTAAGCCTCCATAACCAGGAACATGATTCACTAAGAAACCCTTCCTATAAAAGGATTTTAATGAGATCTTAGCAAAGCTGAAGAATCTTGGTTTCAAATTTAGAGGTTCCTATGAACTCAGGTGATTTTCATAGCCTGTTGATTTCATAGCTCTAATTTAGTTCTCAGGAAAATTAAATCATATGACTGTGTTACTAAAAGTACTTGAGCATATGATGCTGTGTGGAGTGTGCCACTCCAATTCCTGAGAGCTTTACAGGACCCACCTTTTTACTTGAGAAGAGAGAAAGTCTACCACAGCTTTTAATCTGATATCATTGAATAAAAAGATTCACAGAGCCATAGGAATGTACGTTTCCTTTTTTTCACTGAAAACAGTGTCAAATTTAACCTCTTTCTGCTTATCTGAATTCTTGGAAAAAGCATCATCCAAAACTCCATTTTCACAACGAGACTAGCTGGGCTACTGGATAGGTATTTGGGTTCCGTTACATCATTTAACCACTGGAGACAGTGCTTTATGTTTTACAGTACTCTTCTCTTTGTCGTACTCATTTCTGTGTCTCTGCCGTGTCATCCGGGGGTGCACGTGTATATATGAAGTAGTATGCAGAGCATTGATAATCCTCACTTTATTTAGAAGCTAAGTCAGTTACTGAGTAACTCTTGGAAACTTTATTCCAACAAGTCCTAAATTGGCCCAAAAGTTCTATTTTTTATACCATTAAATTTTCATATTCTGTTTTGTGTACATGCAATGATGTTTCCCTGAGTACTGCTCAGATCGTTCTATTTTAAGCAGTTCAGTTCCCAAGAGATATTAAAGGTTAGAATAAAGAAGAATGTCTTTGGGTTAAATCTTGACATATTATTTACTGTAAAATTAGCCTCTGCTGAGACGTTTTATTGATGTCCTGATGGCTCAGGAGTTAAGCACTCAGCGCTGAACTGAAAGGTTGGCGTGTTGAACTCTTTCCAGCTTACCACCCACTCCGTGGGAGGAGATGTGGCACTCTGCTTCCACAAAGAGTACAGCCCTGAAAGATAGGTTGTTGAGTAGAAATTAGACAGCATCGGGTTTGGTTTTTTTGTTTTTAGGTCTTTTTATTAGTTGATTAAGTAGTCGTTGATCTTATTTTTCCAATATTGTTTCAATTTATATTTGTTACAAAATATGCTGGTTTTCCAGCATCTACTCCTTTATGAGTCAGAACCAACTCCACGGCATGTAACAACAACAACAACTCCTTTATGTATGAATCAAACCTTAGGAATTTTACATGCCTTACTTGCTATTAAACAGTATCTGTTAGCTTTTTTAAACACTTAACACTGAATGCGTTCTATTATAGAAGCCCTCAGACAAGCGACATGTAAACATTAATCCTCTTGATACTTCATGGGATTGAAGCAATGTAGTTTATAATGTGTCTAAGAAGTCCTGGTGTGGTGCTGGAGAATAAGCATTGGACTGCTAGCCTCAAGGTCGGCGGTTCAAACCCACCAGCCACTCTCTGGAAACAGGGTCCTCATGAGTCAGAACCAACTTGACAGAACTTACCAACAGTCACCCCTGCCTCAGCTATGTGCTTTCTGCAAAGTGTAGACAGAAGGAAAAGACATCACTCATTTCTTGTCACAGCTAGTTCAGCCTTCATCCCAGTGATAGTGATAGTCATAGCACCTGAACCTCCTTGAAGTGGAATCAGATCCAATCAACAGATTTTTACTGCAAGACATAGAGGAGAAAACAAAAGTCATGGGCCAAATAATTGTTGGGACACCATCTGACCACATACACTCACATGTGTTGTGCTAACCCCCCTAAAGCCCATTCCATTAAAATGGTGAGGCACATAAAATGGTTTGTAACAGCACTACTTTGCAACATGCATCAAAATATTTATTACTGTATTATTTAAATACATTCTAGTGTTTTTGGAAGTGTCTCTTTAGTGTTTTTATGCATAGAAAGCAACCATACTTAACTGTTCCAATTTAGGTTCAAATTCGACTTAAAGACAGATTTAGGAATGAAATTCATATATAATCCAGGGTCTGCCTTTATATAATATGGTGTTCCCACAATGTCCAAATCATGTAACTTCCGTTCCACGGATCACATCACAGATATTAAGTGACACGTGACTGTAATTGGATTTCTTTCTGATGAATTAGACTGGTTAGTATTTCTGTCTTCTCAGCTAGTTACGACTAAGGCATTTTGAGAAAACAAAATTATTAAGTGTATTTCTTAGAATTGTTTCTGAATATTCTCTTATTAAAAGTGGGACTAAAGAAGGTATGAACGTCAGCATCAAGACAGAGGAAAATGGGTGTAGTAATTAGGAACTGGGAAAGAAAACTAGAATTAGACTAAAGCCTCTGAGTATTGGTATAGTGCTGTAGGCTCAGCACTGGACTGTGAATCACACAGTCGGCTCCTTGGAAAACCTATACAGCGTCGCTATGAGTCAGAACCTACTGGATGGCACTTAACAGCAACATCTGAATATTAGACAGTAGTTGACTTCGGATTACTCTTAAGTTTTTCATCCCTTATTCTGAATCTGCTCTTGTTCCTGGGCTCTGAAGCCTTCTACCAGAAATCCTGTTACTACTAATTCTTCCATGAGTAGAAACCCTATGGTTGTCAGACTGAATTTGAAACCCATATATTTTTTTATGGTTAGGTATGGGCAGTACTAATATTTTAGAACGCTTAGTTTTAAAAAAAAAAACAACTGCTATATCTACAAACTGCAGATTTGGTTGGAAGCCCCCCTGCTGAATACTTAACCGCTGATCTATGCTGGGTCTAGGAAACCAATACAACTCAATCTGTCTCCCTGCAGTCTCCTTTTGGGTTAGTCAAAGGGAAAGGAAGTTGTCAAGGAAACATAATATGGAGTGTAGAGCAATGTACATAATGGCATGATACTGAATTTCATCTCAAAGGTCCATTTAGTGAGACTTCACTCATGTACTTAGGCCATGTCATCAGGAGGGACCAACCCTCGAGAAGGACATTATGTTTGGTTAAGTAGAAGACCATCAAAAAAGAGGAAGACCTGCAACAAGATGGAATGACACAGTGGCTGCACCAGTGAGCACAAACAGTGATTGTAAGGATGGCGCAAGACCAGGCAGCATTGAGTTCTGTTATACATGGATCACTAGTTAGCCAACTCAACGGCACCTAATGAGTAACTGATAGTGACAACTTGGGTCATACACAACCTGCGTGAGTCTTCAGTTAATGCTTTTGATTATTAAAAAAAACTAAAATGTCAGGGTTTGTATAGAATTTTAGAGGAGGTGCCACCAAAAGCACTCTTTTAATCAAGAGGTTGGTGACTGGGACCCATCTAGAGGCACTTCCTAGAATAGGCCTACTGACCTGCTTTCAAATAACCCAGTGGAGCAGTTGCTCTGCACACATGGAGCTGCTGACTCAGAATCCCATATTGCAGGTTTACATAAAGGATTAAATGGCAATTAAAGCAGTGGAAAGTAAATTGAGTAACATTTGGGTTCAGCCCAAAAATTCAATGAATGATCAAATGTACAGAAGCAAAGGAAAGCAATGTAGGCTTAAAAAATGCTGTTAGCAATAGTCAAATTTTAAAGCTGGGAAGTGCCAAATTAAAAGAGTTTTTATAACAGTTTCTTTGGAAGTTTTGATACACTAAATGGCATTGTGAATCTATTTGAGGGTGGTAGCTATGTGGTATACATTTTTCCAAATTTAAGCAGACTTTTTTTTATCAATGGAGAATTGCATGTGACTTAGGGACATAGAGAAATGCTGATCAGATATAATTCTCTCATTTTACAGACTTTGATCCCCTCATATGCAAATTCTTCATGTTATAAAATTCTACTGAGCCAGGACTACAACCTAGTCCCCTGACTCCCAACTAGGCCTGTCACATCATTGCCTGTTTTCTCTGACAGAGAACATCTTTATTGTTGTTGAGTGCTGTTGAGTCAGT